GTTGATGAGACTGCCGTTATACCCCGGGGTATAACGGCATGCCGTAATAAGTGAGATCTAAAATATGTTTTTAATATTTTAAAAATTATTAATATTTTGTTATATAAATGCGTTAAAAATAAATTTAAACCAAATTTCCTATTAATTTTAACATTTTACTGTTTATTCTTGTTGTATAAATAGGTTAATGCTAGAAAAATATATAAATATAAGTAAAATTAGTACTAGTATCGCTTTATTTCAACCTTATGCATGACAATTCTTAAATATGTGCCTCACTTTATACCGGCAGGGTATCATAAAGCCGTTTTTGTAAAAATGATCAGCCTCACTTACACCGGCATGCCGGTGGTTGCGCGGGAATACGGTAAATGCCTTTTGCAGTCAATAAAAAACAAAAGGTTTTGAAATTGTTTTCCAGTATTTCATTATACACTGAAATTAATTTTGTTATAGTAATAGGACAGGTATTCAAAGTATCGATAACGGTGCTCACTATTAATACCTGTATTAAAAGACTTTTATTTTAATATTGAAAGTCACCCATTAACTATTTTACAATAAATATAAAACTATTTGAAATTATGTTATTTTTAAAAAATATTTCTCATTCACTAATTTTGCCAAAAAAATTAATTCAAAAACATTTTTTCAAATAATATTTTTGTAAATAATTTTCAAAACAAGTTCTCAAAACCAATAGACAAGTCATAGGAAAGTATTTGCGGATAACCATCACAACACACATACCGTTCCCCAAAACACACCGATACACACATACAGTGGTAATGTCCGGTTGGGAAGAGTTTGCGAATGAGATGCCCGGCTATCACGAGGACGACGACAACGACGACGACACGGGAGGCGTGAGCGACCAGAGGTCACGACCCGCTGGAGGTGTGCGACAGCGCCGACACCAGAGGCAACTCCAAAGAGCTGCCACTGGGGAGGGCTCAGCACCGGGAGCTCCACAAATGGATAGCTCACCCATCGAGAGATCGGCATCCTTTCCGAGCCCGGGCTCGTCGGTGGACTCCTGGGAACCTAAACCTACGGTTCACGAGAGCGCCTATACCCCACCCCTACAGGCTGGAGGTCTGCGGCCGGTCGGTCAACGGAAAGGACGCAAACGTCGCGGGAAAGCCTCTCCCGAACCGGAAGTACCCCTCAAAAAGCCGGGTCCTATGGAGGAGGACAGGCTGTGGGACGTGAGGCGGTGTTTGGAGCGCACGGAGGAGTACTACGACTACCCCTGGAGGCTCATGGGTGTCAGCCTGAGCGAGAGGGCGTTGAACCGGACTCAGTACCTGTGGCTCGGGGGTCGGGTGGTGCCGGTGAAAGTGGTGAACCTGTCGTACGGTCGACTGGCCGTCATGAGGGCCGACACCATACCGTTGGTTGAGTTACAGGAAATGAGGGACAAGTGGTATGTGGCGAGCGGTGAGACCAACACATCGACGTACGCCGGGCTACCAGAGTCGTCGGCCAGTGGTGTGGAGTCACAGTGCCACCAGTTTAGGGCGCGTACGGCCACCAGCAGTGGTGTACCCCAAGGGGGGCGTATGTATTTCGTGGAAAGGGCTGAGGCGGACACGATATGCCACTCGTTGAACACCGGCGCCGACAAGGCGTTAGACAATATGAAGTACTGCGTGGAGGAGCTGAACAAAGTGTACGAGGAGTTGGGCGGTTGGGCACTGGGAGCCGCCTCCATGATGGATATGGCGCACCGGTTGGTGCCGGTAGTGCGCGACCTCCCAGGCCACGCAAAGTGGCTGCTGGACAACGCGGTGGTCATCGATGAGACTGTATAGACCTCTCCCGAGATCCCATTCCCCCATCAGTTTGTGATACATTCGTACAAAGAAGTCTTTATTAGAAATAAAATTTAGTTTGTTTTCAGTGGAAATGATTTTATAATGAGTTTTATTCAATGTTTGGTATTTGATATAAATTGTTTTCGTGACAAAATTATAATAATTTTAGAGATACCTTTCCCATTTACCTAAAAATGTTTTATATACCTGGTACTTACTCCTAATCTCTTAATACTGCAATAAATTATTATTAATAATTCATAATAAAACCTATTATAATGAAAATCTCAAAACCATTTTATTTTAGAAAAAGTTTAATTTAATTCATACAACAAAAGTTTACAACAAAAGTAAACCTCATATATATATATATAAGTAGCGCGTATTGGGCACATAGTACAGACACAGACATCCCATTCCTCCAGTTCTCACACAGTCAACAGATAATGTCAAACAATAGGAACAATAGGTCAGCCATAGACAAGCTGCGGGATAGGGGTTACGGGAGGTCATCGCTCATACCCAGACAGACTGATCAAGGATTCGCTGAACGGGTAGTCAACCATCCGGGACCTACACACCAGCCCATTGGGAGACAACCACACAGAGTGCCAACCTATGTCAACATACACCAGCAAATAGGCCAACAGGCTGTCCCTCTGGTGATCGAGGCACCCATACCCGAAGCCCTACCTCTACTGCCTTTCCCGCTGCCACTTGGTTTGGCTGACAACCAACCGGCCGAACAGGAACTACCAGACGAGCCATTGTTGGGAGCGGTGGGTGGAGTTGATGAGGCGGACGCTGCGGCACCGGTAGGTCCAATGGTTGAGCCCAATTGGGATGACCTGGAACTCCAACAATGGGACGACGAAGATGTATTCGACGGGTCCCTCGATCTCCCTGTCCTCGACCCCTATGAACAGGGGGTACAGCACTGGGTGGCACCGGGCGATCGACCGGTGCAGGAAATTCTGCGTGAGGTGGGCGCCCGTCTCGACTCTATGCAGACATACCTCGTGGACAGACAGCAAATGCGGATCGATCTGAGCGTCATAGACATACCACAAACGGTACGACTGGCCGCCACTGCCGTTCCCCTGCGAGTCCTTACCAATCGAAGAAATAGGGAACTGGCGCTCGAGGTCTCTCACACGCCTGGCCTACTGGTGGCCCAATTAAGTCCCGGAGCCAACGGCCAGTTTGTTGCTAATCAATATACATGGAGTTGGCGCCCGGGTATGCATTGGGGACAGTTAGCAGAGGGTGAGCCAGTGTCACACCCGGCTAATAGCGTACGGGAAGGGCTCGATACTTACCTCTATTTACTGGAGTATAACCAGGCTCAGTTGATTGGCACCGAGCTATTAGACGGCACACTAGTCAACCGACTACGCGCTGACTTGCAGTGGTGTCGGAACCAAATGGATGAGCTCTACCGGCGCCGCAATCGGTGGCCGATATTCGCGAAAGAGTTGAGCGATCGGGTCGACCGACTCATGGCGATGACGGAGGGTCTGGAGGGTGAGCTCATGTGGTTGTTGAACAACGCGATGATCGTACGGTTGGATCGGTTAGTGCCGCCCCCACCACCGCCCGAACCCCGCCAAGAGTACCGACGGCGTCGGTAGGTGTGACCAGTCAGTCAATAGTTGGGCAGTGTTTCCAATAAAATAAGTTTTACTTTTTGTAAAATAGGTGTTCATATAATCTGTTACTAAAACTAGTTACCGGTGATTCAACCATTTTATCTATTTTATTAAATCTACATGCTTAATTAAATTTTAACATAATCATAATTCTATACCATTCTAATTGAACTACAATTTTTTGAAAATGATCTCA